CAACTCAACCCCACAATCATAAGAATTAGGGGCCCGAACAGAAAATGCTGTAAGAAAAACTTTGTTATTGTACCCAACTTTTGTCTTCCTCTATAAAGTTCTAACTCTTTCAACTAATATTCAACACTGGAATATCCAGCCGTTCACACACTTAAAGAGACCTAGTGAAGTCCTGGATTCAAATTGGGGATACAGCATTATTTGGTGGACTGAGAGCAGTGGAAAGACCTTGAGCTCTATTGAAGTTCAAATTCTAACATTAATTAAAAATTCCTGACTCCCTGGGTTGACTTCTACATTTTAGGTCTGTACTGATTTTCCAGGATTATTCAGACAAATTATTAGAACATGATCAGATCTTCTCAGGGAACTATCAGTCAGAATATACTCTTCACACTTGGTGAGATTTGATAATCCTATATGAGCTTGAACTGTTAGTTTTCAAGAGTAAATATAGAAAAAGAGAACTGGGTGTTCTTAATTTGGAATCAAACTAAAAGTATTTATGTTCAAGTATGAATACATTTCTTACTTTAAATAAATTTATTTGTGCTATGGAGACTTTTTTCTGGTCAAATTCAAAGCAGTAATTACCTTAGGCATCTTTATCTCCTTAAGATGAAGCCCTACATGACTGGACTTATTTCTCATACCTGGAGGTAGGATTTAGAGACTGAATATCTAACTAGTCAGAAATCCATAGGTAGTTCAAAGAATTAGCTATATAGGGAGTACTGACCACTAAATCTAGTATAACCTATGAAAACAACAAACAGGATATCCTGAGTTTTAAATAATCATATGTTGACATAATCCATCAGTCTCTCTAGTCTTGTAATACTGATACTACTTTAAGATGGGTTGTGAAAATCACACTTAGGAATTCCATCTTGGGAATAAAATTTTAAGGCCTTTCAACAACCATTCATAAACTAAAATTTGCAATACACTGTTTTCAGTATTTTTCTGACCCCAGACTATTAGAAGGATGTAATGATTGATACACTATATCAACTTGAGAAGTTTAGAAGTTTAAGGTACTCAACAGGGAGGAGGGTCCTTACTTATAAACATCCTCATCCTGTTGCAGGAGGAGGGCATGGAGACTGTGAGTGCTACGCCTGACCTGGGGACAAGGTAGCCTGTTTACAATATAAAAGAGGAAGAGAGTCTTGTTTGCCTCCTGCCTTTTGCTCTTGCTGCTTCTACTCTCTTCTGCCACCTTGAACGGTTGTCCTTGTGCTGTACCACCCTGCCTTGGAGCCAGCTGATTACAGACTGAAACATCCACAAACTGTGAGCTAGATAAAAACCTTTCCTTCCTTCATTTTGGGTGTCGGGTATTTTGTCTCAGCAATGAGAGAAAAGTAACCAGAACAGAATTTGGTACCAGAAGTGAGGTCATTGCTGTGACTATACCTAACCATGTGGTTCAAGAGCCTCTGAGAATGGCTTGTGGGAACCGTTTGGAAAGGTTTGGAGATGTACCCTGAAAGAGTAGAGCTGCAATGCCTTAGGTCGTTCTGTATGGTCAGAGCTCAGAAGACCAGAAGGCTGATAGAAATCCTGCCAGTAAAGTCCAGGCTCAGGAGGTTTCTGCTGAGGACTACGTTGGGTGCTGGAATCCAGATGATGTGTATTACAGCTTAGCAGGAAGTTTGTCTGCATTTTGCTCATATCCAGAGACTTTGCCTGAGACTGAAATTAAGGGCAGTGGACTAATTAATGTGGCAGAAAAAATTTCGTTGAGCTGGTGGCATGGCTTGTTGACAGCATTTAGCCCAAATTTATGTTGAGAATTAAGACCACAGAGCCCAGCAGGATGATTTCAAATGTGAGTTTGGCCAGAAAGGAAGCTTTAGTAAAGCTGTGGACTACAAAAGTAGACTTGAGAAGATCTCCATTGCTGAGAAGGAACAGGATAATAGAAAAGATGGCCTCAGGGCATCACAAGAAGCATCAAGTCTCCATTCTTTGCAGCCTCAAACTTGCAAAGGTGAAAGACTTTGCTTTGAGGAGAAAGCCGCAGAGCACTATGTCCCAGAAAGGCGGCAGCACAGAGAATTTATTTCTCAGAACTGGATTCACAGTGTCCGGTGATCCTGGCACTCAACCCCTATAGCCAAAAGAAAAGAAAGCCTGGCTATTGCTCCAGCTGACAGCAGACTTTGGCATCATCCACACAGCACTGGTTTTAGGTGCATCCAGAATGCAAGAGTTACGGGGTTAAAAAGGTTTCCACCCTGATTATAGAAGGCCTGGGAGGCCAGGCAGTGTGCTCCTGAGAGAGCAGTGTATGAAGCTTTGAGGGTGAAGCCAAAGGTGCAGTGGAGACCCCAGAAGTTTGGAGAATCCAAGAACATAGACTGTCTATAGAAAGCTGCAAGGACGGAGTAAGTGGCCCAAGAGAGAAGTCACAGGAGCTATAACCATCAGAAGTGCCACAGGGGCAGAGCAAACCCTTTCAAGCTCAGTTTTCCACAAATTGCCTCAGACGCTGGACATGGAACTATAGGACTTAATGTTTGCCCTTCTGGATTTTGGACTTGCTTTGGTCCCAATCCTTTGTATTCCCCCGTTTATAACTTTTGGAATGAAAATGTCTATCTTGTGCCACTGAATGTTGCAAGTGTTTAACTTTGTTTTCATCTGTACAGGGGCTTGCAGCTACCAGTTTGCCTTACATCTCAGAGGAGACTTGGGAGTTGGACTTTTCAGCAATGCTGAAACTGTTAGGACTTTGGCAACTCTTAAGAGATGGACTAAATACTTTTTGCATAAAGGGATATGCACAAGTTGTTGGGGGGCCAGGGGCAGAATGTTATGGTTCTAATGTAACACAATGTTGATAGACTTAATACTGGTTCTTAAGGATTGTTAAACCGGTGTTATAATGTTGAAGTTGTGAAATGTTAAGAATAAGCATGTCTTTGTATTTGGAAACCTATTTAAAGAAATGTGTCTGCTGCCAAGCTGACAAGGGGTGGATTGTAATGGCTGATACATTATGTCAACCTGAGAAGTTTAGAAATTTAATCAAGGGACTCAGCAGGGAGCCAGGGTCCTTGCTTGTAAACATCATCATCATCCTGTGCAAAGAGAGGGTATGGAGATTGTGTGAGTGTTACACCCACCATGGGCAGGGTAGCTTATAAGGCAGGATAAGAAGCTTGTCTGCCCCCTTCTTGCTGCTTTTGCTGTCTTCTGCCGCCTTGAACTGTTGCTTCTGCGGCATGCCACCCTGCGCCATGTCACTCTGCCTTGGAGCCAGCTGACTACACACTGAAACCTTCACAAACTGTCAGCTAAATAAACCATTCCTCCTTAACTTTGGGTGTCCAGCATTTTGTCTCAGCAATGAGAGAAAAGTAAGCAAGATAAGAGAAGACAAAGGAAATTTAAGACCCCTGAATGTCATCACAGTATTATCTAAGTATTATCACCATCATTTCTAGATCATAACAGTAAAGGAACAAGAAGGTATTTACAATGAAGTACTTTTAGCAAGAGATTATGATATAGAATAACAGAAATACTTGTAAAGGTTTCTTTTTTTTTTCTTGGTTTTGGTTTTTCTCCGGTACCGGGAACCAAACTCACAACCTTGCGCTTGCCAGGCAGGCACTTTTGCCGCTGAGCTAAATCCCCAGCCCCTAAAGGTTTCTTTGATAAGTATTTAAAAGAACAAAATCAGCTCTCCTTCCTATTCTCCTTTCACTGATCAGAAGTTTTATCATACACCATTAAGCATGTTTTCATATTTGCCTGTTATGCTATGCTCTATATGGAGTCTTCCCATGGAGCACATCTAGGACGCTGGTAACTCAAAGCAATATAATTCAAATAAATGCATGTCATACATGCTCCTCAAGGCCAATTTCACAATGGAGATGATCTATTTATTCATAATTTTAAGAAATGTAAGGATTCCATAAAAACAAGATAGAACACATAGTAAATTGGTGGAAGTCAGTGGACGGGGATAGAAAATGATTTTATATTAGCTATACTGCCCATTTTAAATTCTAATTCCCTCTTAAAAATATTAGCACCTATAATTAAAAATATACAGTGATAACTCCTAAATTACCTCCTTGTCTAGCATATAGACTTCCTCCAAAATAACCATTCACTGGAGATGTAGCAGCATAGACAAATATAGCTGTACTGAGCATTGATCCTCTCCTAAAAAGGTGAAAACATAAGGAAACCAACAATTAAAAAAAAAAATCACAGTCTCCAACATTAGGTTAATTTGATTTCAAGGATAAAATTAAAAACACACAAAAAACACATTCTGATCTGTAAAAGACATGAAAAGGTTCTCTAGTGAATAAATGCATATTAAAACTATTCTTAAATATATTAGGCTAATATTTTTTTCTAATCTGCAGTTAAATTTCATAATATATTTGAAACAAACATTTCACATTTTTTTCGGCAAAAATCCTAGAGGTTGGCACTAAAGCTGTTTTGCAACTCTGTAAATCAAATCCATCATATCAGTTACCCTCATGCTGTCAAAATGATTTTTCAAAAAATCTACAGGTCCACAAGTCAACAATTAACTCATCTGTAACCCCTAATTGCCCCTTCCAGTAATGACATCTAGGGCACTATAGCAAACCTTCTGTTGAATAAAACTGGAAAAATATTTTTAAATATCTAGTGGCAAAGAGAAATATTAACAGTATCATTTGCCTTAAAACAGAAATGTACTTATTAACCCACAACACATTTCAACCTACCAATCTTCCAATATGTAGTACTATTCTATTTAAATACCTTTGCTCATTTTCTTTTTTTTTTTTTTTGGTTTTTCTCCGGTACCGGGAACCGAACTCACGACCTTGCGCATGCCAGGCAGGCGCTTTTGCCGCTGAGCTAAATCCCCAGCCCCTCAACCTTTGCTCATTTTCTTAAAGAGGATGCATAAATGAAAATACTGCAGTATTTCATTCCCATCAATATACAGCTAAACACAGGTAATACAGGGATTTGTCATTCTCAAGTTTAAAAGATCATAAATCTCAAAATTCACCTGTTTCAAAACCTGATTTGTTTTCTTCAAGAACCCAATAAAACACTGCAAGTGTTTTTCAACTACTTCCAGGCTTAACAAAATTCGCCCATTCTTTGTATAAATATGTGTATTAAGGCTGACCCTAGGCCTAACAAAGCTGAAACAAAAAGGCTGCTTTCAGTGTAAGACCAGCCAAGTTCCAGTCAGAAATTCCTAGTGTCATCAGGAAGAGTTCAAAACGGCTGTCTGTGTGACGCAGGGTCCAAAATGACTAAGCATTATCTAAGTTTCAAGTCCCCGCAGACAAGTAGAATATCCATCAGTCTTAAAAACAGAACTTATCCTTTACCTCTTTGCTCGTCTTCTATGGCATTTCACTCACTGCCACCCTTCTCCCATGAAACACTTTTGTCTATAATAAAAATACACTGAGACAGCCTCAATATTGAGACTGGAGGGGGAATCTGTAAGCAGGGGCTATGCCTACACTTGCTACTAGTTTACCACTCTCTACCAAACTTTCAGAGCAACAGCAGCAGCAGCAACATACCCTCACTGTTACAATGCTACGCTTTCTAAAGAGTTAGTGTCACACAATGTGTATCTACAGTGATACAAACTACACTCTCAAAATACTTTTTCCTCTCTGTCATGCTGATCACAGAAGAAAAGTAATTTTCTCATGCTATCTTTAGAATCATTGCATTTCCGGCATGACTCATCTCAATTTTACGTGTAAATTTTTCACTCTGTCAGAGCTTCATTTTGTTATTATTGCTACTTTCATTTCTATAACATAGTAAATTAACAGAAGAGTTGTACAGTATGATTACCCAAATTTGAATCTTGGATTAATCTTTCAGTAACAGCTGTGTGATCTCAAACTACTCAACCTCTCCAAGCTTAACTTTCTTTGTTTTAGAATAGAATAGTCCCTTTACAGAGTTGAAGTGAAAGATTAAAGTTAATGTACATAAAGCAAAAAATACAACACCTCACTTATGTTAGCCCTTCTTATAGTAATACTTAGTACTTATAAATAATTACTTTCACTTCAAATACACATACCCTAAAATAGCAATTAACAGTAGTAACAGTAAAAACAATGCATGACTTGCCTGCTAATACCATCTATTACAGAGTTGTTTCCTATTTCTAAACTCTGAAGGTCTCTAGGAAAAGTTTCTCCATTAAAAATGAATTGCCCCAAAAAAAAACCAAAAAAACAAACAAACAAAAAAAAATTGCCTGGGGCTGGGGATTTACCTCAGCGGCACAGCGCCTGCCTAGCAAGTGCAAGGTCGTGAGTTCAGTTCCCGGTACCGGAAAAAAAACAAAAAAAAAAAAAAAACCAACAAACAAATAAAAATGAATTGCTGTAGTATACCACTAACATCTTGAAAAGGAAAGCAAATCTTGGATTCTAGGAGAAGTTATTCTCTATTGGTTCATAAAACTGAATGGCACAGTCCATGTCAACTCACAATGATGAATTTAAGTCAATGTTTAATGTAAAGTACAACTTGTTGGCATATTTGAAATGTTTTTCTTATATTTAAGATTCAGTCTATCTGAAATATATTACTCCCTAAAATATGAACTACTCATCCTAATTGAAGTTTTAAGTTTTGGTCAATTATTTTAAGCTTCCCTGCATATGAACAGCAAAGGTTATATCTATTAAAGAATCACAACAGAAACTACACAGAAACAACTTTGTTGTTAATACGTATTCACTTTCAGTTCAACAAGTACTAATGGGGTTCCTTCCACATGCAAAGCTCTTTGTGTAGGTTCAGCACTTTGAGAATTAAAAGGCAAGTTAAAACTCAATCCTTATTCTCAAGGAAGAGAGGAAAAAGTAATTTAGTATACAGAAAAATACAACTAAATTGCTGTCCCTGAAATAGTAGGCATAAATACGTTATGAACTGAACTAGAGGTATGAAATACAACTAGAGAATAGTGTCATTCTGATAGAGGAATCATGGAGTAGCATCAAATAGCTGAATCAGAACCACTGCCACACATGTACCAGGATGTCTTTGCTTATAACTGTTGTAGCTCTCTGAGCACAAGGTGATGGGACTACTTTTGGGAATGTACAACTTCTTTCAATTCAAAGACCTCAAATCAAAATTTCAAGCAAGTAATTTTGTTAGGGGGAAAAAAAAAACAGTACCAAATACCATGTAAACATAGAACACTGGTTTAGGACTTTTGTATTTAAGCAGTCATCCAATTACTTTCTAACCTCATATGATTTTTCCATCACTCTTTTTACCATTATTTATAATCCTTCTAGCCTGTAGGGTATTCTAGATCTGGAGAGAAACGTTAAGTACTGATTTAGTGACTGTATAATCCTGGAAGTAACTTCTCTTTAACTCTCTAATAGAACATAAACTGTCACCAGTCAAAATGTTCTGTAATGCTAGCAGTAAGATTTAGCATGTACAGAAAAATATAGTTTATTATTCATTATTTGCCTATAATAATATTTATAGTATTTATTTGTAGTATAACAAATAAGCAAACATTTGTTATTGACTTAAAAGGTTTCAATGATTAAAACTATTCAAGAACAAAAAAGTAATAAAGTATGAGCACTTACTCTGTATATAAATCTTCTATCATTGCAACAATAATAACAATGAGAGACACAGCAAATATCTGACATCCAGAGCCAATGAGAGAGGAAAATATCAATGGGTGACTTGATGGTCTAAATACGTCTCCATGGACCTGCTTCCATCCATATTCATCTCCTAGGTCTCTATCCTATTTATAAATATGTATGTACAGAGAAACAAAAATCATTTTAAATTGAACTAAAACACAGTCAACAGATTTTTAAAAATATAGTTTTAAGTACCGCCCCCCGAATTTACAGCTTTTTAAAGAGGTTTAAAATACTGAGAAGAAAATCTCATATTTAAAGTATCACTGCCAGAATTCAAGGCTAACCTGAACAAAATAGTAAAACTGTGTTTCCAAAAAAAGGGGGTAGGGAATATATATACAGCTAGTTTTTCTTAGTTCATTGAAAAAAAAAAAGGTTTGTGCTAATATTGTCTGGACAGTATTTCATGCCTATATCCCGTACCCTGAGTAACTACTACGAAACTAACAATATGCACTGTATTAATTATTGTTACCCTCCTATTACCCTGATTTGAAATTGTTATTTTTTCTATTTTTCTTCTTCTTCTCTTAAAAAAAAAAAAGCCCCCAAATTAAAATAGCACAGCCTTAATAACATAATATCAAAGTGCTAGAGTTCAGGAAGATGACTCCTGGTTGTGCTCAGATCTCAAAGAATGGAAGAAGGATAGACTGGGGAGCAAAATGAAATGGTCAGATTGGGAAAACAATGTAATAACTCTCTTACAATTACTTTCAGGCCCTATTCATATTGTAGTTTTCTATAGTAGTGGTGTAATGTGTGGTGTGGCATGGCGTGGCATGGTGTGTGGTGTGGTGTGGTGTGGTGTGGTGTGGTGTGGTGTGGTGTGGTGTGGTGTGGTGTGGTGTGGTGTGTGATGTGGTTTGGTTTGGTTTTTGCAGTTCAGGATGGCTTTGAGCTCACTATCATCCAAGCTGGCTCAAACTTGCGGTGATCTTCCTGCCTTTCCTTCCCAAGTGCTGGGATTACAGGCATGCACCACCACACCTGGCTCTATAGTGGTTTTTAAAAAGAAATCAATTTTTCATAAGAAGTAGCAGTCATTCAAGGTAATCTGTTTCTTCTTTTGGAGGGAGTAAGGTGGGAAAGATCCCGGTGAGGTCTTTTTTAAGAAAGAACAAGTATCTCACATACCCTCTGATATGTCACAAAAACATTTTTAACATATTAAAACAAGTAGTTCCCAAATTTATTTACAGATAAAGTATTCCTACATAGAATAGCCATTAATATTCTATAGAACATATTTTGTTCTACAACTTAGAATAATTTAGAAAACAAATCTCTGAACAAACTGAGCTAAAAGTAAATCCTTCCATCCACTTCCTGAATATTATGCAATATTTAACAGTATTAGAAAGATACTAATACAGGTCTATAACATCCTAGCTGTAATTCTGAAAAGCAAGTTGACTTCAAAAATGTGATGTGTCTTTATCTGACGCAAAACTCAGCCTGAACTAACGAAAGGTTATTCACAGCTGGGTGGTATAAACCTGTAATCCTTGCATTCTGGGAGGCTCAGGCAGGAGGATCACATGTTCAATTTCAACCTGAACAATTTAGTGACTTAAGCGAAGATCCGGTCTCAAAATAAATGAAAAAAGGCTAAGATGTAGCTCAGTGTAAAAGCCCTTGGTTTGATCCCCAGTACCACAAAAAAAAAAAAAAAAAGACATTACTTATACTGTTTATTTATCTAACTCAGGGTGAACATTCATATTTTACTGAAAAAACATTAATACAGTTAATTAGCATGCTCCTGGACACTACTGGGAATTTTACACCTTTCTAAAACCTAAAAATTCTAAATTTGGAAAACTCATCTGGCCTCAGGACTTCAGGTAATTATGAACATTTCAACATTCAAAATAACACTGAGATAAACTGTTCCTATGAGTACAATGTAAAATGTTTGCTCACCATATCATCCATTTCTTCTTCTTTACTGTACCGGGCGTAATCTTTTCTTAAAGTTCTCATTAAAATCATTGAAACTAAGCCCACTAAGAAGATCACCATCATGAAGGAGTTGAAAATTGAAAACCAATGAATCTAAAGCAACAAAAAAACAAAATGTAAACAACATGAAAGTCACAAAGATTACAGGTTTCATGATCACAACTAGATGTTTATGGAAATAAAAAAAGATTTTACCTCTTCTACATAAAAATCCAAACCTAAGGCATTTGGGAATAAGTATTCACTATGTCAAAGGACTGGTTTTCTTTACAGCATGCCCGCACACACTGAAAACATGTTATCATCCACACTGAAGTTCACAATCAAATTACTGCACCAAAAGAGTACCATTTGGCCATATGGTTTGTGCAACTCAGCTTTACACAGAAAGAATATGGGGTCTGGAGCCAAACAGGCCTAGTTATTTTAACACAGGCTCTGTCAATTTCTAGCTATATAGTCATAGTTTTCTCATCTGAAGAATAGAGGAATTACAAGTGATTGGTAAGGTGTAATAATGTGTAAAAATGCATGGTATTGTACCAGGTACAGAACAGTAGTAACAATAAATATATGTTAGTTTTCTAACCCCAGCTGAGCAACAATCTGAAAATCTTAAAATACCACAACAAAGCCATCACCCTTGGCTGTCACAGACTTGGGCCACTTTCCTAAATTATTTGCTTCACTTGCTTCCAGTGAATTCATCCTCTCTATTCTGTCACCCTCATTATTCAGTCCCCTCCAAATTAATCACCCATGATACACAAGACAATGAAGTATCCCTTAGTTCCTCAATGTTCTGAAGGCTCCTAGGTTTGACTTCATCTACACATTAGTCAGAAAAGTATATCAAGACTCTGGTCCATAATCACAAAGTACTACTGTGTCTCTGTGTATGTATCAGAATTCGGTGCATCCATTAAGAATAGCTCTGAAATTTCTCTTCTCTCTTCAAGGCCCCAACAGCATCCTCTCTCCTGTCTTCTACCTCCCAGCAGGACACAACCTTTGTTCAAGTAGCTTTTCTTAAAAACAGTGTCTTATTATGTAGTTCAGGCTGGCCTCAAACTCACAGTGATCCTCCTGCCTCAGTTTCCTGAGTGCTGGGCTTGATTATAGGCTTATGCCACCATGCCTGGTTGTTCAAATATCCTTCTAACTTTTCATTCCTTATGTCAGTGTCCTAGAAGCAATTTCCCTTTGAAGTCAATCTTGTAGGTCAATGGTGGTAAACCTATGGCACATGTGCCACAGCAGACACACAGAGCCCTCTCTGTTGGCCCTCGAACCAACGTGCCCCAGCATCACCCCAGCATCAGAGGATTCAGGTCTAAATGCAGTGTTGGCAACTACACGGTAAATAAGTGGGTTTTGGGTTGCATTTTGGGCACTCAGTCTCTAAAAGTTTTACCATTGCTGCTTTAGGCTCTAGATCTCATTCACTGTAAGATGTTTTCCCCCTAAACCTTCACCTTTCTCCAGCATTAACAATCTCCAAAGGTCCTCACTTATAATATCTACCCCCTAGAGTTGTCATAAAGCTTAAATAGGATCATAACAATAAAGTATAGTGCCAGACATATCTAAAATCACTAAAACAGAATCTGAAAGTTAGTATTACTACTATTATCACCTTTCAAAGTATTTGACCTTCTGTCCTCTCATTCTTCTGATCTTCAGTTTCATCTCCCTTTCAATGTCAATACCTTTCAAGTAATTACAGGATCCATTCCTTTCCTCACTTCCTCCAAAATACACTTTAGTCCTTGCCAAATTTCTCTCAAAGGCCTGCAATAGACTCCTAAGTAGATTCAGCAGTCAATTATCTGTTCCTTCTCCTTGATCTCTCTGCCACACTGACCTACTGACACTGTTCCATCTCACCTCTGCTCTTACATCTCTGTGCCTTTCCTCCCACCCTTTTTGAACTTCTCCAAAAGTTCCAGGCTCTCAGCACTCTGCTGTGACTTCTTGGACTCTTGTAACTTGTAATGAGCACTGCAATGATGACACCCTCTACTCCTTGCCACCGTACCACCCCAAATCTCTAGATTCCCTTCTCACTCATGTTTCAGACCTTTACTAACTATAATAATTTATATTTGAATGCCTTTCTGGAATTTAAGGTTCACACTGGCTGAATTATCATAGTAAACTCATAATCGACCCTCACAGATAGCACTCACTTCTGATTCTCTAACTTGTGTTAATGGGATTAGCCTTTCTGAAGTCATTATTTTCATGTATCACTCCTTTATTAAGAGTAATACACCCTATTTCTTTCATATCAAAGTTAAATTATTTCCTCAATAGTCTGTCGTCCACATAATATGGCCAACTCATCTTCTCTAGTCAACCTTTCTTTCCATTATACTCTATCTCCTAAACAAGCCTATTCCTGTTCAATGACCCACAAATACAGCTAACATCTATCTTTTTGGTTCGTTTTTTTTTTTTTTTTTTTCATAATTTCTTCTCAAATGGGATCTACTTCTATCCTCTTTCATAAATTGTACCTACTCTTTTAAATTACAATTTAAGCAGTGCCCTTACCTCCATAAAACCTCCCATGTATACGTTCCAGTTCACAAAAATCTTCCTGCTCTAAACTTCCACAAGTCACTTTATAGAAAATAATACACAGCTTACTGTCCTGCACAATTATGGCAGATTTTAACTAACTAGGGCTAATGTACTGAGGATGTGCAAAGCAAAGGGCAGTCTTGGCTCTGCTATCTGCCCTGAGGCTTCAAGGAGACAGCTCAACTCTATAGCTCTTCCTGAAAGGGAGACAGACAATTATCTCTGCCTCTTTACAAGATCATTACTTTCCTTATTCAACTATTTATTGAACAGCTACTGAAATCACACAAGAAACAATGAATGAATTATATTTTGAAATGTCTGCCCCAAAAGGGTATATAAATTTATAGCAATAGTGTCACCCAAGATTTAAAAAGCAGTCTGTAATGACAGACTTTTCCAAAGATTTCAGTTTGTTCCCATGTGGGAAATTAGTAATCCAGAAAAAGTCAAAAAAAGAAAAATATATGATTCATATCTGCTTTTAACCAATTTTATCAAATTTTTAAAGAGAAAGTTTATACAGTTATATTTAGTAGTAAGAAAGGTACACCTAAATACTAAACTTTCTAACATGGACAGAAATGGAGATTGTTATGTTAAGTGAAATAAGCCAGGCAAAGAAAGATCAGTACCACAGCTAGGGATCGGGGGGTACTCTGTAATCTCAGCACTCTGCCAAGTTGAGGCAGAATGGTTACAAGTTTGAGCCCAGGCTGGGTAACTTAGTGAAACCCTGTTCTCAAAATAAAAAATAAAAAATGGGGTCAGACATGGTGGCATACACCTGTAAACTCAGCACTCAGGAGGCTGTGGCAGGAGGATCGCCACAAGTTCAAGGCCTGCCAGGGCTGCGATATAAGTTCAAGGCTAGCTTGAACTACATAGCGAGACCCTGTTTCAAAACAAAACATAAAACCAAACCTAAAACTGGGGAAGGTATGTATGTATAGCTAATAGTGCAAAGGCTTTAGGTTCAATCTCCAGTATTGCAAAAAAAAGGAAAAAAAAGTACTGCATGATCTCACTTATATGGGAGGTAAAAAAAGCTGATCTCCTAGAAACTGAGAGTAGAACAGTAGTTACCAGAGGGTGAGGGGAGTAGGAGCAGAAAGGGATAGAAAAAATTGATCAGTAGGAGCAAATTACAGTTAATGAGAGTACAAAATTCTGGTGTGACATTGTACACTAGGGTGACTACTGATAATAATGTACTATATTTCTGAAAGCTATAGACAAAAGGATTTTGAATGTTTATACCATAAAGAAATAAACGTTTGAAGAAAAATATTTACCTTGATTCAAACACTACACAATGTATGCATGTATAACATGACATGGTACCTAACTAATATGCGTAATTTTTATGTTTATGTTTTAGTTAAAAATAAACTTAAATTTTAAAACTAGCAACATTTCTAATAAAGCTTTGTTCTAAGATATAAATTTTAAACCAAAACCTATTACAATCCAACACCAGTGGCCTGACATTTACAACATTCCTTTATTCTAAAAGTTATGAAATATGGTATGATTTTTCAATTTTTATACCAGGAAAAACTTTTTTAAAAAATAATAAAGAATCCTGGTATCACGAAGGGGCTACTGACCCCAACTGCTCCACTCCAGCACCCTCTAGTGTTACTAATTATAGAGCGGTATCTCCATTTGTCACCAATTTTGAACAGAACTACGTAACAACTGTCCTAACACCACTGCCTCACCCTGAGTACCTGCTGCATGTCAAACCCAAAACTAGATGTCTTATGAACATGATCAAAGAGAAACTGCCCTACAGCTCTGCAAGGTATTTGGATCCTTGCTCCACTACTAAGGAAACAGAAGCTAAAGATCTGAGTTATTTGACCAGTCCAGTGAAGAGCAGGGCCAGAGTTGGAGTTGGCTTGAGTTCCTATGTCTGTGCTTCCAGTCAATGAGTTAGAAACAAACACTATACTTACACAGTAGATTCCATCCCTTCCCACCTACTTCAGAAAAACACTGTGATAACTCCCTCCTCTTTCACCTGCCTTAACAGTTTTACACTGTACACTAACCCCACTGGCATATAAATGTGTTTTTCTTGTATCTTAAAGGAAAGCTCCTGACTCCATCTTCTCTACAGGCCACTGCACCATTTCTTCACTCCCCTGTACAGCCACACTTGTCACAAGATCATACTTGCATGGTGGTCCATGCCTATAATCTCAGGACCCTGGGAGACTGAGGCAGGAGGATCACAAGTTGGGAGCTCAGCCTGGGCAACTTAGTAAGATCTGGTCTCAAAAAATAAAAAAGGCTGGGATGTATTTCAGTGCAAACGCCCTGGTTCAATCCCCACTGTCACAAAAAAACAAACAAGCAAACAAAACCTATACTCACTGTCACCAATTCCTCTCCCCTATTCTTACAGCAGGCTCCATTCAGGTTTTCACCCACTGTTACACTAAAACTGCACCTTGTCAGGTTCGCCATTCATTTCCCAATGAATCCAATAGTCACTTTTCAGTATGCATCATCATCATATGCTATAGTTTGGATTATGAATGTCCCCAGAGGCTCATATGTTGAAGGCTCAGAGCCCACTTTGGCAATACTGTATGTGAAGGTGGTGGAAACTTTGAGAAATAGGACCTAGTGAGAAATCTCCAGTCACTACAAATAACTACATGTGCATTTCCACTTGTAACAGGCTTTCCAATGGTGTTGCCTCTGCCTAGAATACCTTTTCCTTCAGATATCCACATTCCCTATTTCCCTCAATTCTTTCAAGCTTCTGCGTATAAGTCCCTCTCACAGAGGCTTCCTCTATCACATTTAAAAGTGCAACTCACCATGCCTGTGGTAACTTTGCTTTACTGCTCTCCTTTCCTTGTTCAATTACTAGAACCACAGTCTGCGTTACTTATGAGAACAATATGTAAGCTCCATGAGGGCAAAGATCTTTGCTTTTTATTTCCTAATGTGTCCTGTTTCCTAGGACACTGCATGGCACACAACACATACTCAATTAATTACTGCTGAAAAATAAGTATGGTACACTCCTCTGCAGTAAAAATGCTAGAAGGTACTGTTTCCTCAAGTCCTCAACACCCAATGGGATTAGAGCAAGACAGATTCAAAGTTCCAATAGGGAGTACCTGTTGAGAACTTTCATATTGTCACATAGTGTCTAAACTTTAAAGTAGTCTGTCTGTGACCATATCTGTAACTGGATTCCTGTACCAAGCACTAAGACTGATTACACCTGAAGAGCATCCATAGTATGTAGAGGAAGAGAGATGGGGAAGAAAAAGTGCATCTCCAACAGAAATGAGCTAAATCCTTCAGTGAGAATTAAATCCCATATAGCTTAATTTTTTTTTTCTTTTTAATCCTAGGACTCTGAGGAAGATTAGAAGCAGTGATAGGCTCTGGGGGAACCTAGAAGCACTGATATAATTAGATGATTAATAAATTTCAAAATTCCAGCTCAAAAGATTATATTGAAAGAAGAGACAATTCAGGGACAAATTCAGAAAAATGGACATATTTTCTTACACCTTGTGGTCTTTTAAGCTCTATCCTCAAAGAAAGGAACCACCAAAATAAGGCCTATATTTGCTATGATAAGCCAAAACTACTACAAAACTGGCACCAATGTCACCAACTGGTCTTTGGAGCTGAGATTCAGCTTTTTTCTACTGATGGGGGAGGGGGAGTGGCGGTCAGGAATGTGGAAGGCATTTCTTCACAGTCTTGATGTTTCCTTTTTTTTTTTTTTTTTGGTCTTTTTGAGACAGTTTTTCTCTGTGCAGTTTAGGCTGGCCTTGAACTCTCCGTGCTCCTCCTGCCTCCTCCTCCCTAGTGCTGGGACTATAGGCATGCACCACTATGCCTGGTTTTGTTTGGTTTTGGTTTTGGTTTTGAAGACAGGATCTTGCTATGTAGTTCAGGGTAGCCTTGACCTCACTATGCAGACTAGGATGGTCTTGAACTTTGCTATGTAGTTCAGGGTAGCCTTGACCTCACTATGCAGACTAGGATGGTCTTGAACTTTGCTATGTAGTTCAGGGTAGCCTTGACCTCACTATGCAGACTAGGATGGTCTTGAACTTTGCTATGTAGTTCAGGGTAGCCTTGACCTCACTATGCAGACTAGGATGGTCTTGAACTCACAGGGATCCTCCTACCTCAGTGCTCGGACTACAGGCGTGCACCACTATGCCTAGCTTGATGTTCCTTTCTATGGGGAAAAATTTCCACTAGCAGAAATTCCTAGCCTCATTCCAATCTTTCATTCACTCCATTATAAGAAGGTGGGTACACTCTGCTGTTTCTACATACCATAAGTTTTACAAGGGCAAGTGCCCACACCAGGCAGCCTGTAATAGTCCAGCACTATGGACATTAACTCTAAATCTAAATTCCAGTAGCAAGAAGCTCAGTTGACCTCGGATGTAAACTACATTCTCAAATATTAGTATCATGAGTAATAAAAGTGGTGTTTCGGTTTCTCACATAGTGCATTCTCCTTTGTGTATCTTTTAACAGCACAATGAAGGGAGCCTGACTCTTGCTCTAAAACTGCCTTACCACCCTTAGGATTCAAAGCTCACATCTGAAATCACAATTAACTGAATCTTGAAATCCACATCCGTGGGTGCCTTACATAGAAAGGATGCTCAGTGTCTGTCTCAAAAATCAACAGCATTCCTATATGCAAACAACAAACACGTTGAGAGAGAAATTAGCGAAACCATACCTTTCACAATAGTATCCATAAAACTGAAATACTTAGGAATTAATCTAACAAGTAAAAGAACTATACACTGAAAATTACACTACTCTGAAAAAAGAGAATGAAGAGGATTTTAAAAAATGGAAAGATATTCCTTGCTCATGAATAGGAAGAACATGGTGAAAATGGCCATACTCCCAAAATTGTTACACAGATTCAATGCAATTCCAATGAAAATACTATTGATATATACCTCACAGACCTAGAGAAAACATTCCAAAAATTTACCTGGAACCAGAAGAGACCCAGAATAGCAAAAGCAATCCTGGGCAACAAAGGCAAGGCAGGAGGTATCATAATCCCTGATTTGAAATTATACTAGAAAGGTACTGTGATAAAATCAGCATGGTACTGGCAAAAAAACAGTTCTGAAGATCAATGGCACAAACTAGACATAATCACCAAGACACTCAGCCATCTTATATTTGACAAAGTGGACAAACATGTTCTCTAGAAGAAAGATAGCCTCTTTAATAAATGGTGCTGGAAAACTTGGCTTTCCACATGCCAAAGACTAAAACTAGACCCATGTCTTTCACCATGCACTAAAGTCAAAATGGATCAGAGATCTAAATATTAAAACAGAAACACTAGATCTAATGGAAGAGAAATTAGGTGGACATCTTGAGGACATAGGGGAAGGTAGAAAGTTCATGAACAAAAACCAAACTGCACAGGAAACACCTCAAAACATCAACTGGGATCTCATCTTATTGAGAAATTTTTCCATATCAAAAGAAATCACCAACAGAGTGAACAGAAAACCCATGAATTGAGAAAACATTTTAGCTAACTGTCTCTCAGACAAAGGACTCCCGCTAGAACATATAAAGAATTAAAAAAAAAAAATCAGACCCCTAAAATTCAAAGACCCAGTACAAAAATGGGCATCTGAGATGAATACACACTTCTCACATGAAGAAATACAAATGGTAAATAAATACATGAAAAATTGTTCAATGTCATTAGTCATTCAAGAAATGCAAATTAAAACAACACTGAGATTCCATCTCACTCCAGAAAGAATGGCTATCATCAAGTCAATCCATAACAAATCCTGGAGGGGCTGTGGGGAAAAAGGAACTCTTCCCCACTGTTGATGGGAGTGTAGACTGGTGCAATCACTGTGGAAATCAGTCTGGAGATTCGTCAGTAAACTAGGATTAGAGGTCCCATTCAACCCAGTTATTCCTCTCCTGGGTATTTTTCCAGAAGAACTGAAAACATCATACCACAGCAATACATGTGCAGCCATGTTTACAGCAGTGCAATTTGTTATAGGTAAATCTTGGAAACAACCCAAATGTCCATCAACTAAGGAATCAACAAAAAAGATGTGGTATTTTTATACAATGGAGTATTACTTAGCTATAAAGAAAGATAAACCAGAGGTTTTTACAGGTAAATGGATGCAACTAGAGACAATACTCAGTAAAATAAATCAGATTCACATGTGTAAACACTGTATTTCCTACCTACTATAAGAACCTGAAAGAGTAAATAAAATCTGAAAGGTACAATAGACATAGTGAAAGGGAAAAGAAACTGCTCAAATAGGAAGGAGCAACTGGGTTGAAGGAGGGGAGAGTAAAAAGAAAGGAAGATGTCTGTTAGTTTTTTGAAAGGAACTGTTAATGTGTAACTAATCAATATTGCATGCCTATATCTCATTAAATGTGCACTATTTTGAAGATGACATTGTGCAGTATAACAATCATTGTTAATATCCTATCACCACGTTTTGAAATTCTGTATCATTTTTATTGCTCTCTATGCTGTTTTGTTTATGTATTTGTTTTTGTTATTTTGGCTTTTTTAAAAATGAAAAACAAAATTTATATGTATATATAAGGATAGCTGGAACAGGTGTATTGCTGATGACTGTGGTTTACTGAAAGGAACAGTCAATGCTTAAAATTTTCTTTTTTCTTGACCAATTTTGCACACTTGAATCTGCTAATCAGAATGACTGATCTGAAAACAACAATATGCAGTATAAAAACCACTGTTGAATTCCTACCATCTTGTATGGTGAAGTTCTGCATCATTTCCAATGTTTTATTATTATTATTTTTTTTTTTACTTATTACTGTCTTTGATTGTTTGATCAATCTTGCATTCTTTTTTTTTTTCGTGTTTTTTTCCCAGTACCAGGAATCGAACTCACGACCTCGTGCTTGCCAGGCAAGCGCTGTGCCACTGAGCTAAATTCCCAGCCCAATCTTGCATTCTTATGTCTAGCGGACTGAGCAACTTCATTGAAGATAACAGTATGTAATGTAGCAACCATTGCAAATATCATTTTGTTCTGAGGTCATGTATCATTTTTGTTGTTTTTGTGTTGTTTTGTTTTTGTCTTCATTGTTGTTTTGTCAGTTTTTTAAAAGAAAAAAAAAGAGATGCTCAGTGTTTGTAAAACTGATTTGCATAGATACACAGTGTCTTAAAATATACCTACCCTATGTTGAAAAAAGGATGGATCAAGATATTTGTCAAATCGGTCTTCAAATTTTACATCTGACTTTTTCCACTTTACCTGAAAAAAATTTTCATTTGAAAATCAAGGCTAGTAAACAAATTAATAATGTGATGTAAAGTTTAACTTTATACATTTAGAATTAAAATTAAGTACAGAAATGGTGGAAAGCTACTGACAGTTTGAAAAGTTGAAACAGGTATGACAAAACTAATCAAATTTCTTCTCTATGTAATAACAAAATTCACAACTTTCCTTAGAGGGATCATTTCAGTTTTCAAGAACTATCACTATTTTTGGTTTATATAACCTAACCTGACAGTTATGTGAAGAACTGAAGTAACAGAAGCTCACATCACAAGTATTTAAACCAATTAAAATAAAAATCTGTATTTCTTTATATTCAGAGTACATTATTTTTATTACCAAAATCATACTTCTTTGTAAGTTTAGTTATACAAATACTATTTACATTAGGTACACATACATAAAGCTTTAAAGACTTTCACAACTGGCTACAAATGATGCACTCATTCCAGCAACCAGGATAGTAACTGGCAATGAGGCTAACTACACTGGGTTTCTCTCTTTTTCTTCCTGCCACTTTCAAGCCTAACACAATGTCATTAATTTGACAGTTGCTAAAGAGCTGGCAGGCTTGAGTTAGTTGGCCTGCCCAGTTATAATGGTACATGTTGCTAGAGCAAATGGTCAATCTCACAAATGCACTACTGGTAATTAATACTGTAGACCTGAAACACATTTTCTCCCTGCTTCTAGGAGGCTTATATTGAGGAAATATAGTTTTAATATAGTATTCTGTTATATGCAATTTCAAGATATATCTTGATTTACTTTTTTTGGTTTCTTTGAGACAAGCTCTCACTATGTAGTTCAGGTTGGTCTTGAACTCACTATGTAGCCACGGCTGGCCTCGAATTCACAGTAATCTTCATGCCTCAGCCTCCCAAGTACTAGGATTACACGCGTTTACCACCATTTCCAGCTCTACATTTCATTTACTAAAACTCCAAAATATAATCAATCATAAACACTTCTTCCTACATACTGTATTTTAATACTTACTGAATACGACATCTGTATTTTAGTATTCGGAACCAGCTTCACCTTTCCTTCACTTGTTAGATTAACATCAACAATTCGATTTCCATTAAAGCCTATTTCAAGTTTCTTATAGGTCCAAAGATAGTAATCTTCTCCATTTTCATCTGCTTCACCAACAATACCTATAAAAGAAAAAAATAGTTCTTAGATAATAATACCACACAGCACTGAAAACATCCCAGAAACTAAAATTTATTAAATTTTTTTATACTCATTTGATTAGTACTTAATGAACACCATGCACATACCAGATACACTATGGTGAAAAGGAAATAATGAAATCTCAGTGTTTTGATCCTCAGTGTTCATGCTTTATCATTACTATCACCTCCACTGCAACAATTATCAGTTAATTGTGCATAGTCAATATCTCAAAATTTTTTATTTTAAAGAGAGTAATTAAAAAAAGAACAATAGCAACATACCAACATCACAGGCATAAACAAAACAAAGCAAGCACATTAAAAGTGATACAGGGTTTCAAAACAAAATGATAGCAATTAACAGTGGTTGTTATATTACATATTGTTATCTTCAACTACGTTGCTCAGATTACCAGATGTAAGAATAGAAGATTGTTCAAACCATTAAAGAGAATAAAAAAAATTAAATAAACCATTAGAGATAATTCAGAGTTTCACTAGAGAAGACAGTAGGAATTCACCAATGGTTGTTCTATTGCATATTATTGTCTTCAAAATCAGTTGCTCAGATAATCAGATATAAGCATGCAAAACTGGTCAAAATATAAAATATTTTAAGCATTAACTATTCCTTTCAATATACCATCAGACTTCAGCAGCATAGTTATCCCAGCTATTCTTCTATACATATAGATTTATAGCTATGTATCTATATCTATAGATAGATAGATAGATTTTGTCTTCTTTCTTTTTTCTTCTTTCCCTCATCCCAGTTGTTCCTTCCTTTAAGCAATTTCTTTCCCTTTCATATCACCTATTGCACGTTTTGAGTTTTACTTACTCTTTCAGGTTCCTACACCAGCGAGAAAAACACGATGTTCACACAAGTGGGTCTAATTTATTTCATTTATGAATATGGTCTCTAGTTGTACCCATTTACCTACAAAAGCCTCCAATTTATCTTTTTTAATAGCTGAGTAATACTCCATTGTATAGAAATACCACATCTTTTTTATCCATTCCTCAGTGGATGGGCACCTGGGTTGTTTCCAAGATTTAGCTATAACAGATTGTGCTCCTATAAACATGGGTGCACATATATCGCTGTGGTATAATGTTTTTAATACTTCTGGGAAAATACCCAGAAGGGGAACAGCTGCGTTAAGTGGGACTTCTAATCCTAGTTTTGTAAGGAATCTCCAAATTGATTTCCACAGCGGTTTTATCAATCTACACTCCCACCATCAGTAGAATAGGGTTCCTTTCTCCCCACAGCCTCTCCAGCATTTGTTATGGATTGATTTCTTGAGGATAGCCATTCTTTCTCGAGTGAGATGGAATCTCAGTCTTGTTTTAATTTGCATTTTTTGAATGACTAATGATGTTGAACAATTTTTCATGTATGTATTTGCCACTAATATTTCTTTATGTGAGAAGTGTGTATTCATCTCAGATGCCCATTTTTATATTGGTCTTTGAATTTGGGGGGCCTGATTTTTTACATTCTTTATATGTTCTAGATAGAAGTCCTTTGTCTAAGGGGTAGTTGGCTACAATTTTTTTCCCAATCCATGGGTTTTCTTTTTACTCTGTTGGTGATTTCTTTTGATGTGCAAAAACTTTTCAATAAGATGAGATCCCAGTTGCTGATTCTTTGAAGTATTTCCCGTGCAGTTTGGTTTTTGCTCATGAACTTTCTACCTTCCCCTATGTCTTCAAGATGTTCACCTACTTTCTATTCCAATAGATTTAGTGTTTCTGTTTTAATATTTAGATCTCTGATCTATTTTGACTTTACTTTAGTGCATGGTGAAAGACATCGGTCTAGTTTTAGTCTTTGGCATGTGGAAAGCCAGTTTTTCCAGCACTGTTTATTGAAGAAGCTACCTTTCTTCCAGTGAACATGCTTGGCCCCTGTCAAAGATAAGGTGGCCGAGTGTGTTTGTGGTTGTGTCTGCATCTTCTAATCCGTTCCACTGATCTTCAGATCTGTTTTTTTGCCAGTACCATGCTGATTTTATCACAGAAGCTTTGTACCATAATTTCAAATCAGGAATTGTGATACCTCCTGCCTTTCCTGTTTCCCAGGATTGCTTTTGCAATCAGAAGGCCTCTTCTGGTTCCAGGTGAATTTTAGGAATATCTTCTCTTGACCTGTGAGGTATACTAATGGTATTCTAATTGGGATTGCATTGAATCTGTACAACAATTTTGGGAGTATGGCCATTTTCACAATGTTTGTTCTTCCTACCCATGGGCAAGGAATATCTTTCCATTTTCTGATCTCCTCTTCAATCTCTTTTTTCAGAGTACTAAAATTTTTACTGTATAGGTCTTTTTACTTCTTTTGTTAGATTGATAAGTATTTCAATATTTCAAAATTTTAAGGAAATGAGATGTCACTATTTATCAAGGTTACTAGTGATTAAACCACAATTATAACCAAGATTTCCAGAGGTCCAGTCCACTGGTTTCTCTAATACCCTATCATCTACCTGTTCCTACAAAGATGCGTGCATGCATGTGCCCCAAAACCCACATGTGTATGACCAATACTTAAAATATGTCCCCTTTTTGTGCCTCAGCCCTCAAACCTGTCTCTGTGAAATCATCAAAATGAAAGACATGTTGAAAATAAAATGGTAATGAGGCAACACCTTAAAATGATCACTTTAATCATAATTTCAGATAATAGAAAGTACGAAGTCTTCAAACTATCAGCTATTTGTCCAATGTTCCCCACCAAAGTCTTAGGCTCTGTAAGTTACTTCTTAGGGCCTTCCCTTTATGGTCAATGCATCCCATTAAACAATTAGGGAAAAATAATTCCTTAAAAAGGATTATTTGTCATTAAACCAAGTGAGTCTCTAATTGGTATAAATTCAACAAGTAAACTTTTGCGTTATTTATGGTTGTAGAGGAATAAGAAAATGCTTTTAATAATTAATTCCATTAAACTCTATTTACCTATCTACTTTGAAAACCAGACTTTGACGGTTTTCACACAAAGACACCAAAGCTTTTTTTCCTCTAAGATAGTTTAAAAGATTCTGAAAACTTTACCCTCCCAAAAAATCTAATTGAAATTTTTTTTCCGGTAAAGATTCTGCATGCTATTCTAAGATATGCAAAGTATCTTTCCAAACATTGCGGACCCTGAAATTCTAGGGCTAAATAGTACTTTTACTTTAAGACAAAAAAGCACAGTTCTCACTGCTGCTAAAGAGATCCACAGTAGGGACAGAAGGAAAAAAAAAAAAAAAAGAAAACCTGAGGATCCAGGTAAGATATTCCTAAGCAAAAAAAAGACATGGGAGAAACCTGTTCTCCTACCAAAAATGAAGAAAGCCCTAGCCTACTGGATTCTCCTGAACTACATTCTCCTGACTCATCAGTAAATATTCAGCACACCTTCCTGCTATCCCCCAGAGCTCATCACAAAAATATATGGGTTATCATAACACTAATTACAATCATTATATGAAATGCTTCCTATATATCTAATTAACATGCAACAGAGTAATGATGTATACAATTATCTGTTGAGATGAACTATCATAAATTTCAACTGAGTACAATACTAAACTCTGATCTGACATGTTCAGGCATTCATGGTTTGCTGCTCATAAGCATTAATGGTCTGCTAAAAATTTCAAGAATTAGAAGAAACATGAATTACCGTATATATATAATATATATATAAGAGCAGGTGTCGAGAGCATAATGGGGAGGTGGGATTATAGAGAAAAACGTGATCAAACATGTTGACTATATAGTTGACTAAACTTTGAATTTTAAATAATCAAGCCTAACACTAGTGATTATGTGTTAAGGAACTGGTATGGACAAGCAAAAGCTACAACAAAAATTTTTAAATACTGAGTTTCTAAAAATAACAGTAAAACAACCCATTTGAGAAATTATCATATCTAAAAGCCACACCACAGTATCACATAAGACAAACCAGAATTTAAAATTCTATTTACATAGTCCCTTGAAAGGAATAAGTTAATATAAAGTATGAGAAAAATAGAAACAAAAGATATTTCAGATTATTCCAAGTACCTTTTAAGTATTTGAACCTGAAAACTTATATTGTACACAAGTTATATTTTAAAGGAGTTTCATGTAAGTGTGACAATAGGAATAATTCTTCAAGTAACAGGGAACCATAAAATCAGTATTAAAATCATTTTGTGGAGAACAGAGAAAACACATTGACATAATCAAGTGTAAAATCATCTTAACAGTCATTACATGAACCTTGCTCATTATGCAAATATTCCTAAACCTTTAATGTTATATATAATACTTACCCCAGATAGGTAAGTCATCTATATACATCTGATACCAGTAGTGATTTTTGATAGCATACACAAATGCATCTCTCTTTTCTTTATCTAAGTCAATTTCACAGTAAGTAGCTGTCATAACATCATCTGCATAAAATAAAAATTGCAAGTTAACCCACTGGTTTCCAAAACAGTCATAGGAAAAATACAAGAAAAAAATTCAGTATTTCCTGAAATTAAAATTTCTATTTTGGGGTGGTTTTTTTTGGTAGCAGAAATAGAACTCAGGACCTTGAGCTTGCCAGGCAGGCACTTGGGCCACTGAGCTATATATATCCCCAGTCCTAAAATTTCCATTTATTTATTTTTTATTTAAATTTGTATTTCTAATAGCTGAATCTGCATGACAAATACATGGGGCTCAGTATACTATCCTTTTCTCTTAGATATATCTTTGTATTTGTTTTATAATGAAACAATTTTAAGAATATTTATTTTAAAAGATTACCTTTACCTTACTAAGTAAAAAAATTTCCTATATAAAATAATTTTAAGAACATCGATCAAGTAACATTAAAACTGCTTTTTAAAATGAAAAGCTTAATATATAGAAGGTTTTAATTTAATATATGTGAAAGCTGAAAGATATGCTCCTAAACAGAGAGATAATAATGTCTAGCTAAAAGATCTCTGAGATTAATATTCATTTTAACAGTCTTGGAAATACAAGGGCTATAGGTTCTATAAGGAACCCCATGGATTCTTCATAATTAGAAAGATTAGGAGAAACCACTATCTACCGGGTGTCATTGTTCCTAAATTATTTGAAAGTACTCCTAAAGATGAATCATTTCTATCATTTCTACTCTTGACTATTTAAAAAAAATATCATTATAATAAAAGTCTGTTTTAAAAATATGTTTATGTTTCTAACAAAACAAAACCCCAAACCTATACTCTAAATACCAATCAAAAGAATTAAACTATTTGGTGCATTACCTAAGCAATTAGGAAAAAATTAATCTTTACAGGAACAAAAAAGAAAGCACAGGTTTCTTTTAAATTCTCTTATACTCTAATATTGGTTACTTAGAATTGAAATGCAATTCTCCTGAAGAAACATTAATCTTCTTAAATACTGATTAAAACTTCAACATCGACTATAGTGAAATCATGAATTTTATGGATACTTCTCACATTATATCTTTTGTTTTTCCTTTCTTTTTGGTACTGCAAATTGAACAAAAAACCTTGCACTACCACTGACTACATCCTCAGTCCTTTCATGTTACTAATTTTTTTTATATGTTTGCAGTATATGCAGTTTACAATCATCTTGGGGAGGGGGTACATGTACACACCACAACCTCCTTTTTAAATCCCTTTCACCCTTCCTTTAATTCCTTATCTTGATTTTTATTCGTTATTACTAATCATAGCTCATGTTATGGCACGTAATGTTTACATTTGTTCAGTTACTATGATTCTGTACATGGTATGTCTTTATTCTGCATATTTCTCCTTCCCCTCCCCTTCACCCTTTGCCCTTGGCCCCGTGGACCCCTCCCCTACCTTATTTCTTAATAAGAAAGAGCAATCTGAGTTACAACTCAAGATACTCTACAATATAACTAACCTCCTAGGGAACAGCTTCCCCTTGTAATAGATTAGCCCAGAGCAGATATCCTCACACGACAACAAAATGCCATGGAGGGAGAAAAGGAAAATACTCTTAGTCTCAAAGAAGGAGAATGAAACAGCTCTGTTTCACAACAGTAACTCCCAGGCAGATTTTGTTTTGACCCAAGCCCATTCAGGGCAGCAAGGAATTTAGGATTTTCATAAGGGTAAAAAACGGGCTGAACGGGCTGGAGATATAGCTCAGCAGCACAGTGCCTGCCTAGCAGGCACAAGGTCCTGAGTTCAATTCCCAGTGCCACAAAAACAACAAAACAAAACAAAACAAAAAAAAAAAAAAAAAAAAAAAATGGGCTGAGCAGTGAAGCAAGGGACAGTTATGCTATAAAGGGTTCCCACAAGAGCAAAGAGAACTGTCAGCAAATTGGCTTTTCATACAGTGTGAGAATGAACAAAGGACAGTAGGCAACTGCAGCCAGAAAGAGGACAGCCAGAACCAAAGGGAGGTTCAGGCTTTGAGTGAAACAAGTGGCTAAAATGGCTGTGGGAGACCTCACAAGTACCTTTGCAAAGCCAACGAATTCCTTGCTGTTATAAAAGGACATCCGTTTGTAATGGTCATTAATGATGTGATAGTTTTAAAGGTGAAGTTCTGAGCTATTCAGTATGACATTTACCTGTATGAAGCTTGTAAGAGAGTCCTCACAGTCTGAACTCTAGTTCAGCTGTTTCCCAACTGATCTATCATCCTCTCTCCCTATACTCCAACCTAACTACCTGCAGTCCCACTGCACCTTCTGCTCTCTTGGCCCCTGGACTCTGCCTGTGCTGTGAACTCCACTTCCAAGCCCTTTCTAAAATCTTTCCCATCCCATTCTCTCCTCCACAGAGCAGTCCCACTTCTTACAGTCTGGCCCTTTCTCTGAAGCCCCATGGTTTTCTCTCCACATCTCCCTAATGGTACACAGGGACCAACATGTTAGGTCCTCCAAGACACCTAAGACCTTGAGGTGATGTCCGTAACTGACTACATCTTTTTTATTCCCAGTTATGCCTGCTTCAGTATCCTTAAGAGTAGGTACTACAAATAAAAAATTCTAACATTTTAAGAGCATAATTTTCCCACTTATTTGACAAAAGAAATCACTATCTAAGAGTATGCACACATGCATGCATCTGTGTATGAATGGGGTGGTGGTGGTGTTGTAGAAGTAAGTGTCAACATAAAATGAAAATTGTAGGCAATTTCTCACCAGGATTGGCAAAAAGTCTTGAGGAGTCTGTTTCACTGATGTAAATTCTTAAAATGAAATGAAATAAAAGGGAAAAATCTACCATGGCAAGTTGTGTAAAGGGCAATCGTTAGTCTCATTTTAATGCAATTTCTCTTCTAGGCATGTAGGCAAATGCGACATCACAGACAGCTGAAAAGTCTGGTTGCTCAACAGAAATCTCACTTCTCTCAGAAGCTGATTTGAAGAAAACTAATACAATGTAAACAAATGCAACTCTATGTTCAGCATTCTACACAACAATCTAGAAAAGCATCATAAATTACAGCTTGAATATTATAATAGGGCATACCTTTTTCAGATAAACCACAACCTATTAACTCTGAAGAAGAAATTAAGATTTTACCAACGTAGCCAGGTGTGGTAGCACATGCCTATAATCCCAGAACTCTGGGAGGCAGAGGCAGGGGGATCACAAGCCCGGGCAATTTAGCAACTTAACGAGACCCTGTCTCAAAATTAAAAAAATAAAAATATTTAAATGGGATGTAGCTCAGTGTGAAGGCCCTAAGGTTCAATTTCCAGCACCATAAACATACAAAACTCCAAAACCCAAAACACCAATTTAAATACTCTTTATGAAAAAAATTTAAATAAATAAATAAATAAATACTCTTTATGGAAGGAATATAAAACAACCAAAGTTACGAAATGGTGAATTCCAACAGCAGACAAGGTTAGGTAGTGTAGACACTAAGCCTCAATATGTTTCAATTCCAAATAATACTCCAAACTAGTAACCACAGGAAGTGAAAACTTTAAGAATGTGCTAAATATTCATGAGTTCTCTAAGAATACAGCATATGATCATACTTTGTTTACTTTCTCTTTTGATAACATTTACTAAACTGAAAAGTCAGAAATATGTTCCTTGAAATTCAGCGGCTTTTGGCAAAGTCTCTCATGAAATCACTACAAACCTGTATAGAAGCAGGCAGAAATGAGTTTCAATCTGAGCTCCACCACTTACTAGCTACATGAATTAAAGCAGGTCATTGGACCTCCATGAACTTCAGTTCCCTCAACTATAAAAGAGAGAGAACCCTCCTTTCCACAGCTTCATGAAGAACTGAAAATACTGATGTATTCTTCACTGTGTTCTAAAGTGCCCTTGGCCTTGTACCCCTTAGAAAATTTGACCAAAATAATTATCTCCCTTTCCCCTCCAAAAATGCACATGAATACAAAATTAAGTGTATAATTTGAGAGGGTCCATGGACCTCTGAAACCTGAGCTGGCTGAACTCTGTATACTCAGAGCTTACCTAGTGCTAAATGCAATTAGGCACTCAACAACTGCCAAATGAATTAAAAGAAAATATGGACTAGAAAAACTTGTATATTTACAGTTAATTAAAAAACAGTTTTGTTGGGCCAGGAATGTAGCTCAGTGGCACAAGCACCTGTCTGCCAAGCACAAGGTCCTGAGTTTAATCCCAAGTACCAAAAAAACCCAAACAAACAGTATTGTTAACTGATCAACCTGACTGGTGACCTAACCTGCAGTTTTTGTTAAATGGCTATTCAGTAGTAAGTATCAAAAACTTTCTTTAAAATGTTTATACTCTTTGATTTAGTAATTCTGTATCTAAGAATTTATCCTAATAAAACATTAAGAAATCATTGAAATACTTACACATAAGAAAAGCCAAATACTTTGTCATTTGTAATAGGAAAAGAAAGGGAGAGAGAGAAAACACAAAGAAGCAAAGAAGTGAGGGAAGTGGGAAGAAAAGAAGGAAGTGAGAAAGAGGAGGGAGGTAGGAAGGATGGGACAGTTAAAATATTTACAACTAGGGAATAAAGAAAGATTACAGTTTAAAAGTTGTAGAGGGCTGGGGATAAAGCCCAACAGCGTAAGTGCTTGCCTGGCAAGCCTGAGGTCATGAGTTCAATTCCCGTACCAAAAAAAAAAAAAGTTGTAGAATACTATGTAGCAATATTTAGAAGAATAATTAACAATATAAAGATAAAATTTTAAGAAAAAGTATACATGATAAAAACTAGAACTTACTAAGAAATGCTTAGAACACTGGCACATAACAAGCACAATATAAAGACCTTTTAAATAAACTTTTAAAAATCATCCATATGAAACATTAACTCAATATTTATATATTTTAAAACAATATGATGAATGAAAAGGAAAACAATTGAAATAAATATACCAAAATGATAATGGTAATTATATCCAGATGATTTTTATTTTCCTCTTTGTATTTTCATATATATACTAAATTGTGTACACTGAAACTGTATCATTATTAAAATCAGAAAATAATACATATCCCTTTGGGGGAAAGAAGGACATCAATCTGGAGAGGAACGATATAATCAATGGTACAAATAAGGACTTATATAAATACTATACTTATCAAATCTGCAGGCAATACAAGATCTTAAAGAATCACTAGTAAAAAGAAATTTTAAAAAATAAGAATATAAATAACTGACAAACTTCATGTTCAACTGACTTAAAACACTTTGGTTGAAGCCAACAGGAAAAAAATACTGCATCAACGTTCCAGGCTTCCAATTAAACAAGACAGATTTAACCGTATGTTTCTTCTATCTCCTGAAATGCATCAAAATATCAGTAAAGGAATTTTAAAACAGAAAAAGAAAAAAGTAAGTCCACCATGACAGAAAGTAGAGAAGACTGGAGAAAAGACTTCAATAAATTTTGGAAAAATGGAAAAAGATGAAAAGACAACATGGGCCACATAAATCAGGGGCAACATAACAGAAAGGATACCTAAAGAAGGAGGGGGACAGGTGTCAAAGAATTCAAAACACACTCAGGACATGGAGGTACACAGGCCTTTAAAGGTATAGCTCAGACACAGGGCTGACCATACAAGGGAACTGCATGCTGATAGTTACATGGAGAGACTAGGTGTCCAAGTACCATCTTCCATCCGACATACAACTAACTACCCTCAACTTATCCCCTGCTGTAGACCAAAGCAGACTTGCTCTAGAAAACATAGAGGATCCAAAAACTGGAACAGAAACTAAGACGAGAGACAATATAGGAAAAGATTTTAAATAAAAATCTTCCCTCTGAATAAAAGGGCCTGCCATTCCTCCAAGGCCTTTTCCACACCCTTTGGCAGTCAGGCCTTCACCATCCAAGCAGATCAATAGACGGATATATTCTATACTGAGGATCAGAAGAGCCAAACTGAAGAAATCATTGAATCAGAAGTATGTAAGGCTCTAAAGCATCCCTTGGCATTTCTTCCTACCTGTAGTACTCTCAACTTAGTACTTCCCTCTAGATAGCAAAACATACTTGCATAGTAATTTCATCCCTCTGTTAAGGTGAAACATTCAAAATAAAATTCAAAGAAAGATAGATAAAACAAATGCAAGGAAGGTACCCTCCACACAAGTTAATGATTTTGAAAGATTAACCTGTTTTATTATATTTCAAGATTCTCAAATTGGGGAAAAGCCCTGGGTAGGGACCTCCCCTAGCTAAGAATTACTACTCCAGATCACCTAACAATCAACATGAACCAATTATGATAAGAACAATGAGGTATAAACCATCTAGGTATTAGACAGTTTATTAAGAACTTACTATTTCTTACTAGCTAGAGATACAGTGATGAACAAGAATATTGTGTCCCTTTGCTGGAAGGACCACAAGCCTAGTACAGCAACCTGGGGATAAATCAAATTCTATAATCAATAAATTAATTTTTATCTTTCATAACCAAATACAAAATCAACTTGGAAATATAGGTCCACACCATGGGCCAGAAGTAATCACTGCAATTACTATTTCTCCCATGGCTATGTAACTTCAATCTGATTTAAATATATTACCTCATTTATATCTGACAATGGGTCTATCAAGTAAATATTATTTTTCACACTTTACAGATGAGAACTATGAATAATATAACTACAGGTACATAGAGGATAATCTAAGTCTCTCTAACCCTAAAACACGTTTCTTCCACTATATAACGACAAGGTTGTAGGAGGTATACTCTAAAATTTGAGGGTAGTAAATTCAGGCCCAGTTCAAAGATGTCTAATTTAAGTCTGCCCTTGTACATGTTATGTATTTTCTCTAAGTGGTCTCAGTTAATATTTTTGTCTAACACTAGCATATACAAAAAAATTTGTGTATAAATTCTAAAACGAGGCATACCACATTACACTTAAACTATCATTAGTTCCGTAAAATAGTCTCTCTGGTGACTTCCATTTTCAAAATAATGCTAATCTATTCAGCCTGACAGAATCTGCAAGGTTTAAAAATAAAAAATAAAAGAAGCCAGGCATGACAGGACATACCTGTAATCACAGCACTCAGAAGGCTAAGGCAGGAGAATAGGCAGGGGTTCAAGGCCAGCACTGACTACATAGCAAATCAAAGCCAGCCTGAACTACATAACGAGACCCTCAAAAGACCAAAAAAAAGGAAAGCAGAGTCATGTGTATGCATGTGTATATAATATATAGTTTACTGTTTCCATAGTATTTCCAAACACTATTGCATCTGAATACGCCTTAAAGTCAAATATTTAAAAGATGAAAGATTAACAGTATCGAGTCAAGATGTTCTGGTTTCCACTACACTGTCAGTATGTTTGATACACCATGGGCAAATCACTCACTCTCTGAGCATCCATGAGAGGGAGTTGAATGATACAATCTCCAAGGTGCATCCTACCTTTAAAATTTTGTGATATTATAAGTAACAATCAGGAATACTTTTCAAAGCATGATCAACTTCATCCTTGACTAGAGCAAACAGAAGCCTACAATTGAGAAGGAAGAGAAATCTAATCAGCATTTACTATTTCTTCTGGACCACTTAATTTAGCAACTTTTTAAACAGCATCTCCAAGCTAAAGGTATAAAATCGACAAAACCCCAAGGACCCTCCAACTCTCAGGGAATAATACCTGGTTAGCTCTTCTTTCAATCTAAAAGTGCTTAGCTTTTGCTGAAATGAAAATAAATTCCACTCTTCTAGTCCATCAAACCACCTTCTTCTATTTAAACAATCTCTCCATCTCAAACTCAGGGAACTAATAAAAGGGGAAAGATTAAGATTGCTAAATAAGCAGTCTTCTTTAGAAAATATGGATGAGGATTTAGGCTGGGGATGTAGCTCAGTGGCACAAGCACCTGCCTGGCAAGCACAAGGCCCTGAGTTCAATTCCCGGTACCGCTCCCCCACCAAAAAAAAGAAAAGAAAAAGAAAATATGGATGAGAATTTCAAAAACCAATGAAATCATAGTAGCACAGTAGCACTTCATATTTTTGCCTGTTCTCTCTTGTTGGTTCCTCTATAATAAACTAGAAATGCTTATTATGTATAAAATAAGAGAAAATGTATGAATTAAATATAGTACTGCCAATCTCAAAGATCACGTATTATAATTTGTTTCTACCTTGTTTGTAACTAAATATTCAAATTAAAATTAAAACACAGCCTGATTAAATTAAAACACAGCCTTAGGGCACGTTTACAACGATTCATAAAATTATAGGCCACACCACTGTAGTCTAAATTTACAACTTAATTTTATAATTAAGCCCCAAGAGACAGTTTACAGGAAAAGAGACTGTAAATATGTCTACCTGTTTCCAATGACAATTTTTGAAAATTCTACAAATGAGAATAAATTTTAGCATATCAAAATTAAAGAAACATTAACTTTACATTATTTTCCTTCACATCTTTTTCTCCGAAGTACTAAAAATATCAGAAGGCAGTCATAACTCATTTTATACATGGGGATGATGAGGTTAAAACTGGAGTCAACAACCTTACTAAAATCAATGAACTAAAATTCATTTTTGTTTTCTTTTTTTTTTTTTTTTTTGGTACCGGGAATCGAACTCAGGACCTTGCAATTGCCAAGCAGGCACTTATGCCACTGAGCTATATCCCCAGCCCTGGAACTAAACTGCAAAACTCCAGATTACAGAACACTTAATCTAACATCTGTAAAAATTCAGTCACTCAAGGCTTTAGTTCATGATGCTAAGAAGGCCTATGAAGGAAATGCTCTTTGACAAACTTCACAGAGGAAAATAAAAGACATAAACACGCTCAAAGGACCTGATAAATAGATAACTGCATAACCAAGTTTTTTTTTTCCGAATATACAAGGCTTTGACTTAAAATTTAAGTATCTCATCTGTTCAGAAAGCAAATTAATACACTGATAAACACACACTGAGTCAATGGTACAAGTCTGAATTTGAGGATTCACACAAAATTTCTTAAATAATCATATTATCTCTTTTTCAAAATTTTATTTTCATGTAATATAAGTAGATCTTAATAAAGAAAATAAAAAGTGTCCTTCTATGAAAAAATAAAACAAAATTGCATAACAAAATGGGAGAATAATAACAGGTAACATACTATATATCATGATCTTAAAAGAATGGCCAAAAACAAAAAAAGGCCAAAATCTTACTTAGAGTACAAGTCATATATGAAAGACTCTCTTTTACAAAGAAGAAATGAACAAATACAAGGACAATACTTTCTTTTTAATGAATTAAAAAAACTAGTATAGTCTCATACCTCCAGAAATTAGGAATTTCTGAAGGCCTTCCCTGGCTTAGATATATCTAATCACTAGAGGGTTCACTACAGAACACATTGGAGGAACAACTATATTAAGGGAACATAACTGTGTTAACAATTTACTCTGCTAAACATCCTACAAGTCACACAATAGCCCCGCACAACAAAACAATCATCTGGCCTTAATGTCAGCAGTGCCACTGTTAAGAAATTAGTCTATAGTTTAACTCGTACTGTAAGAACTATTAAGATTTACTTACCCTTAAATTTTATATCCAGACCACTAAATTCCAATTCAACTCCTTGAAGTGCTTCTCCCAGAGTTTCATGGTAATGACTGATACTTTTTTTTGACCCCACACAGAATGGAAGTGAAAAGTACTTATATGTTTCTTGGCGATTGTGGTAGGGCCCAACAGTATTCATCCATAAGACAACCTCCTCTTTATCTTGATACTGAAACAAGGAAAGTAAATAAGAACACACATATACAAACACATACACTCAAGCTAACACACATTAAGGAACTATGTCATCTGTTCCTAATGGAAGTGTATTCTCAGTGTTCAAGAAACTGTAAAATATTGGATGCTTAACCTGATGATCAATGTACATTTCTTAAAAATCAAACTGTGATTTTTAAAATTGTATCTTCTGGTTGTGGTCTCAGGGTCCACCTTTTTTAAACTTTGTTTTACAAAGGATAGTATTTAAACAAATAGCTCATAAGGAAATGTTTAAAATACAAAGAATATACCACTAAACAATGGTAAACCTAAAACCAACATAAGTCACCAGACTAACATGGGCAAGAAAGGAGGAAACAAAGTCAATAGTTTATCTCAAACTTCATGATAATTATTAGATATTTTTAAAAATACTGCCAGCATGCATAAATAAAACCTTTCCTTTCTAGCCTTTCATACAGCTACTAGTCAAAGTACAAAGAGGAAGAAAAGTCATTGTATGAAACCACAAGTCCATCCAGGCCAATATTTCATCTGCTACCAGCCTAAAAGACATGCACTTCGGGCATATTTCTCTAAATAATTATGGCTCTGTCCATCAGCAAATACTACATATAGCTAAATATGGACTGCAATCCAATGAGTTGGGGCCCTAACTCTACTTTTCAAGACTATTATCTGCCAGAGATTCCTAAGATCTCTACAAGTTTAAAATCCTTATAATTATATAAAAACCAGCTACCAAAGTAATTTAAAAACTAGTAACTTTAATTAGCAACATTAACCTAAGCTATCACAAGAAACATTTAAGTCAATGAATGATGCATAAGTTAACCCACTAAATAATTATTTTCTGAGTGCCTAACATGTGCCAGCAACTGTGTTTATAACTGAGAATTCAGCCTTGAACAAGACATATTCCTTGCTCTACTGATGTCTAAGGGGAAAAATGAACACTGAACAATTTCAGTAAAGCAGGCTGTTATGGAGGAAATAACAGAGGAAGATATCCAATTAGGCGACTATGAAGCACTTAATCCTTTTATGCCAAGTATTCCCTTTTTGAAACACCTATAACAAGGGAAATAATAACATTTTTTCTCTTCAAATTCCTATTCCCTGAATTTTCCTAGGCATCATATACAAATTTCATGCAAAAACTCAAAAACTTCAATGTTCAGCATAAATGGGTTACTGCTTATGTTCCACCTAATCAATCAATAAATATTTTCTGTTTTCTTTTGTTTTTGTGGTGCTGGGGACAGAATCCAGAGTCTCACATATGCCAGGCAAGCATTCTACCAGTGAGCTAAAAACCCCCAGCCCTAAAGAAATATTTTCAATTAAAACCTGACATCCCTAAAATCAAACTCATCCCACCCAAATTTACCCTTGTCAACTTGTCAAATGGTACTACCATTCACTCAGACATGAAGACTCAAACCCCAAGACCTCCATATCCAGAAAACCAAAAATCACTTGTCTATTCCTAGTCAAAACATCTGCCTCTTCACTTTGATTCACATCACCACTACCACCCCAAGACTTAAAAGGGGTCAAATACTTCTTCAAATACAGTACTGTAAATGTCTCACTGATCCATACAAGACACCAGCAAGTCATCAAGAAAACATATTACCTCACTTTTTGAACACATATGAGACCCAGCACAGTGTCAGGTATAAAGAATATAAAGATAAATAAAACACTCTCTCTTCTTTTAGCATGTTCACTATCCACAGTGGAACAAGTAAATGATTAACAATATAAAAGTGTTATAATTAAGGTAATAAAGAGCTACTATAGCAACAATAAAGGAATGATTAATTCTGTTTTCACAGAGATGGGTCAAAATGAGTAACAATACAGAAAATTATAAGCTGCTTCCAAAGTGTTCAGAAAAAACAATTGTAGGTAATTTTCATGTATAAAGTAATGAATTAAAGGAATGAATGTTAATGTATCCATACATCCCCATTCATAACTATTCTTCTGAAAGTTGATAAATGTATGTAGGTCACCACTCTCCATCTAATCCTCAAGGTCACGTAACAGAAACCAAAGTACTACTTTCTGCTAAAAAAAAAAAAAAAGAAAAAAAGAGACATTTCAAAATTCTCAAAATAAAATGGATATGGTAAGTGCACACCTGTAATCCCAGCACCAGGGAAGCTCGGGCAGGTGGCTTGCCCCAAGTTCAAGGCCACCCTGGGCTACACAGTTCAGAGTCAGCTGGTAAGCCTGAACTACATAGCAAGAGCTGTCCGAAGAAAAAAAAAAGAAAATTCTCACAACAGTGCCCTAAACCACTACCAAATGACCAGAGCTGGTGTTAGAACTGAAAACTATTCATCAAAGCAAAATGCTGTCTGTGTAATACAAAATACAAAAAAAGTATTTAATAAATAAAAATGGAAAACACTAAAGAAATGCTGAAATGTAAGGTTCATTGGCAACTTAGTAAAAGAAGTTTGAAATACATGCACTGACTGGTATGCATACTGACTGCAATGGTACTTATTTGAAGAAATAAGAAAAGTAGTAACACTTGAGATTAGACCACTGAATAAAAGCAACCACTAATGAGAACCTTGCCATGAATCCTGTTAAGAGTCTGCAGAATGTTACATAACTGAGAAAATAAGTGCAAAGACATTTTGCTTACAAATTCCAGTACACATATGCCTTTAAAAATAAACATACAAAAGTTTGAACATAAGTATTTCTTTAAATTAGGGCACTCATTTTATTTTATACAAACACAGGACTAGAGCATTTAAGTGCTATAGTGTGTGTTTAACCACACATTATTAAGTTACTTAGACATTCATGAAACCTTGACAGCCTAGTAGAATTGTGACAAAATTCATACCATTTTATGGTTTAAGATTTTGTCTGGGAAGAGGAATGAAACAGTAATTACAAATATACACACACGAAGTTTAGAGTGAGTACCAAAGCAAAAATACTACTTGCTTACTGCTCCTTTGTATGCAGATCCTCATCAGATATAATGAACTTAAAATGTTTACGTTCATCTCAGACCTTGACTATTCCTGAAAGTGCTCCCAGGTCAAGGTGAAGAATACTTTTTTCTCCAGAAAATGTGTTTTAAAATATCTTGAAGTTAGAAAATACCAAATGAGAGACTTCACACAGCTTTTTAAGGGAAAGAAAAAAAATATTTTTTAAAAGCTGCAGACCAAGTCCCTCAGCTCCCCAACACTGTGGGAAGCAAGTGGCAGGTAGGAATCTTCCCTCCAGAAGGGCTCTGGTTTGAAAAGCTAGTCTAATTCCCCTCCACAACATTCCGAGAAATCCTATCAAGCTCTTTTTAAATATTTCCTTGGGAAATGTTCAAGCTGGTTGGTCAATGACATGAAGATAACTTACCTGCAAAGTATAACCAGAAAAAGGGAGCAGGATTTTGAGGAATCACAGCAGTGTGTCAGGAGACCCCTGAACATGGCAGTAATTCCTTCTACTGAGGCCACTGAGGAACTAGCCAAATGAGAAAAGACCAGTTCAGGCAACCTTCATTCTTCACCTATTTTCCAGATCTCAGAAGAATTTCACTGTTACACTCAACTTAGGGACTGTCCACTCTAGTCAAAAGTGTTATAACACTGTCTTCCTTTTATGCTTCACTCTGCTTTGCCATTTCTCCTAAATTAGAATGCCCTCCTTTTCTCAGTGAAAATTCTACTTATCCTTCAGTACTGTTCAAAACTTCCTTTCTCAAATCCTTAGGTAAAGCCTTAACTGACCAATACTTAACAAGACATCATCTCACTAGCTTTGGTAACAATACCACATTAGCTAACACTTAAAAAGTACAAACCATGGGCTAGGTATAGGTCTAAGGTCTTTATATGAACATTTAATCTACTCAAAATCTTCTAATATAGTCCTCTTATTTCTCCCCTTTTACAGATTAAGAGAATAAACACACAAGAACAAGATGTTCAATAAGACCGCCAAGATTACATGATTAATCAGTACCAAGTTTACAAGTTTAAGGCTATAGTTTTTGCTAACTCCTAATCATGTTCATTAACCAAAGAGCTAAACACTAAATCAAGAAAATATGAAAAAGCGTAGGTGTACAAACCAACTAAACAATTTTTCTATTTGAACCCTTAATCTGCCCTAAAGGAAAAAGCTGTCCTAAGAAGCTACGCTAACCTCAAATAGAATAAGCTTTTCCTCAAGAGGTCACCAATGCTGGCCCCTCATTTAATCTTCTGTGTAAGTGCTGGAGAAAAGGGGACCAAAGATTTCCTCCTCAACAGAGGTCACGAATTACATAATTTTTCTCAGAAGGAATACTTAGGAGATACTGCTGCTGTGTACTCTTTATAAGATCTGAATAAAGAAAATATAATTCACAATGACTAGCAAGGGGAAGATCAAAATAACAACAGGTTTATTTTAAAGTACATATGAGATAAAGCAAACTCCAGTTTTGAAAATATTTCAAAAGTCAAAATTTCAAAGCCTTTTAATTATTTAAAACACTTCAAAATTCTAATACAGAAAAATTACAAGTATATTTTTAATAATCTCTTGAGAGAACTGTTCTTTCTCAAAATAACTTTGTACCTAAATAAACTTCCAGTCTATCATTGAGCGCAGCTGAAAATAGGACAATGAGTTATGACATTTCCTAAAAACTAGATCTATATTACAGCACTCACAAACTCACTCACAAAATAGTTTATTCTCTTTATAAATCTTTAAATAAGTTTCCAGAGTTCCTGTACAGAGTTGTAAATGCTGGTGCATATCCGCAACACCCGCACTCAGGAGACTAAAGCAGAAGGATCACAGTAAGTTTGAGGCCAGCTGACTAACTCCCAAGAGAAATAAAGACAAAAGGTTGCCACCTGCCAAAGTAAAGCAAAAAAGCCATTTTCAACTCATTCAGTGGTATACGCACACAAAGCATTTAATGACTGAGGTCAAATAAGCTATTATAAGCACAGAAGC